CCTTGTGTGGTGGAAGAATATTCAAGTCTTGGACTGCAACTGTCCCAGAGCAGCTGCTGCTGCTCTCAGGGGAACACTGAGCCTCAGGTTGACTTTCTTGCTTGTCCACTGGAATTCACAATCCCATTCTCTGTTTGCTGAAAGTGCCCCAACGTTTCCTTATGCTGATCCCAAATCCTACCTTTCTCCATAATAGCTGGTGACAGCAGAAGCAGGCAACTACACGCTGGGATGTTAATACACTGTGGAGTAGCTGCTCTGCAAACGACCACTCAAATCTTAAGGGCCTCCATGGAAACACCAGATGGCCAAAAGTGATGGCAAATGACCTGTGTGACCACATATCCACATTAAATCCACTTAGGTTAATATATATATATACACACATATATATATATATGCTGTCTGTATACAGGACTGCTGCTGGAATTAAGTATGTATGTTTTAAGGGTTTTATAGACATTAGGATTTCCTTTTGCTTTTCTGTAAAGCTTGTAATTTTGTTCTTTTGTGAAAATTCTTCGTGTGAAGTTGGATGAGGAAGTAAAAAAAAAAACAAACCCTACTGGTGTGCATACAAATGTATTTGTGGTCATAGTTGTGAGCTGGAAGATGCTGAACAAATTTGACTTTGGGAAAAGCTGGAATATTCAAGGTCAGCGGTAACTGAAGGAGGTAAAATATAGGAAGACATGCAAGTTTTAGTATTTGAAGAGGCTGTGAAGAGTCATTAGAATTAGCACTTAGTAGAAGTATTTGACTGGGTTTGCACCTGGTTTTAAGTTGGTTACAGTAACTGATGCAAAAAGGTGTCTGTGTAATGCACTTAACTATGTTTACCAGGAGGTACCGTCTGAGCATCTCTTCAAAGAAAGCTGCGTGTGGTGCACCTGCTATAGAGACAGTTTAGGAAGGGTGAGATACGATGCTGCTAATAATTGTGTAGAGGTTTTAGCACAGAGTAGTGCAATTCATTAGTGAACTCGAGCAGGAACAGGTTGTTGCTCGGTTATCTTAACAGTAGATACTCATATAATGTTGACTCTTGAGTTTTAATCTTTTTATTAAGAGCTTTTTATATTAAAAAAAAATATGTAATATATATACTTTTATTTTCCCCTCCCTAGAGCAAAACATGTTCTGTAGAAATTGGCAAATAGACTCTGCCTTGTCCATTGGCAAATAGACTCTGCACAAAGGCAGACTGAGCTGGCTTTGCAAAAAGAACTGTAGGTGAGGCTGCCAGGCCGGGGGTGCCCATCTCTGGCCAGGAGGCAGCAGGAGAGCCCTGCCCCAGCCTTGTGCCCTGAGACACTCACTCCAAACACCCCTTGGAGACTCTTTCAAACCAGCACAGTGCTCCTGCTGCAGGAGCAGCTCCGTGGGCTGCTTGGGAGAGAGAGCCACACAAAAGTCTGGCTTCAAAAAAACCCCCACAAAACTATTTAGACATGGAACTGATTCAGTAATAAGGAATTACTTAAACTGAACAATGTGTTTCCCACATTCGTCTTTCAGGTTTGAAGAAAAATGATTTTTTGCAACCTCTCAAAAAAACCCAACCCTGTGTAAATAGCCATAAACTGTAACCATGCCAAATTACAGTGTACAGTAAGCTTCAAAGTGCAACACCAGGGTGTGTTGATGCTGATAGCAGGGGAACTTTCTTGTTCAGGATGTTGCTGTTGGTGGCATTACTAATACTGTGCTTTTAAATGTTTTAATCCTTTGTATAGATTTTTAAAGTGTGATGGAAGGTTAAGTTGTTGAGCTACTGTTTATTAAACAATTCTTATATTTAAAGGGTTCACTTCATTTCTTCAGAGAAGAAACAAATTACAAGACTTCTTTAATCCATAAATCCCCAAGAATGGTAGCCAAGTCCTTACTGTTAGGAGCCAGTGAGCTGTTTGCAGTTTGAGAAGAACTTGTAAAGTAGAAAAACCAAGTTAAAATCAACATTCCCTGAGTTTGAATTGTGAATGAGTTACTGTCAGGACATGGTTTGTGTACATTTGTATTTCAGATGGGCTTCTCAGTTCTATTTTTCCAAGATTTTCTTTCTGGGTTTCCTTTGTTCCAGTTGTAGCTAAGTCTGCATAAGGAATACATCCAGAACATCCAATTGTGTAATTCCTGGGTGTCTTCAGCATCAAACTAAATCAACAGCTCTGATGAAACAGAAAACTAGAAAAGACTTTCAGAAGTGACAGACATCTTGTTAGGAAAACTGCAGCCTTGGTAAACAGTTCTGGTTTTAATCTGGCATTTTTGTCCTTGACCAGAATTTCAAGGGCAAACTTATGGAAAATATGAGAACTCCAGGTTAGGCCAGTTCCTCTGGATTGTCTGTGAACAATGGTGAATCCCAGGGCGTATAGCAGGATGTGGAATGAATCATACATGGAATTGTTACTGACAGAAAGGTGCTTGTTGCCCTTCTGTCTCTGGTTGTGTGCCAGTCTTTACCACTATTGGCAATATTTGGTCTTGAGTTTAGATCTTACTAAGTATTCTTGTAAAATGTACCTGTTTCATTATTTGCTCCTCTTCTGGAGGAATAACCAACATATTGTTGTGATATTTGTGATGGTGATTGCAGTACTGCAGTGATAAAACAGCACTTGCAAAACACAAAAATAGTTGGACATGTTGTCTGCAGTTTGTACATTAAAATAAATTACACCCCATCCCCCCAAGTCCTCCTGAATGGTAGTAAATTAAAATGATTTGAGGTTGAGAAGTATCTTTGCTTAAATTATACCATCTGAACCCAGAAATTTTGCAAGTAGTGTGTTTCACTTGTAAATATTTAGTAAAAGGGCTGTGCAGTGCTGCTTTGACAGTGTGTTTACAGTATGTGGTGAGTTAAGTTACTTTTGTTGTGCAGGTCATGTATTGTGTCTGAAGGCTGCTAAGAGAATTGCATTTTTGGTCATGTTAGTCTGTACTGAGAGAATAAATGTTCAAACGTGCTGCTGTGAAGTTTCATTGTCACCAACTTACAGAAGTACACACTGACTTTTAGTTCTTTTGTAAATAGTTAGAATTGAGGGAAATCTTGGAACATCTGCATTGGATTATTCCCCTCCCCATGGCCCCAACTGTTCACAAACCCCAAACCCAGCAAAAGCAAAACTAGAAGAGCGTTCGTAATGTCAGTGTATCCTTATTGAGGAGATCACCCCCATATATGACTTTCATGTTTGATTTAAAAAAGATAAATAAACCTTCCAAGACTGGCTTTCAGATGCTGCACTTGATCTGAGAAGTTACTTCTCCTCAGAGCTATGGATGAAATCCCACTGAGAGTTCACCTGCCTGTCTTACCCCATAAAACTGTGTTGAAAATAAACTTCCCCAAATGTTATCTGTAACACAGTAGCAAATCACTGTGATTTGAAGAAACTTGTAATGAAATTGTTTAGAGTGTTTTACTACACCCGTTTTGTTAATAGGTCAGTTGTGTAAATTCTTTACCAAGTACAAATGAATTTGATTCTCCTTTTCCAAAGCAACGAACATAGAATATGATCTTTTTGCTGAAAAATGCCTCTTCAAATACATCACAGATGTGTAGTTTAATTTGAACTGTTGAAAATTTTTTCAAGTGTCATTTAATGTTTCTTTTCAAAGTGTAGAGAAATATTTAAATGTAGTCTTGCAGGATAAAGACTTAATACATTCTAGAATGTAAATCATCTTTGTAAAAACTACTTCAGTTTTTTCTTGTATAGAAACAAATCTCAGTTGTGAAACCCAAAGATGAATAAAGCTGTATAAAGGGAAGGTTCTTAAATTGCATTTATTAAACTTCTGCTTCTTACAACCCTTTTGACAGAAGGGTTCAAAGCAGGCAGGTGCTTTGTTCAGTTCCCATGGGAGTTCGCAGCCCCAAAGCTGCACTTGTGTCAGATGGACATTCCAGGCTGGATGGGGGTGGGACTGGGGGACGGGACAGAATCTGAACATTCAGCCACTACAGGTGACTGACTGATGGCTGTGAGCTGAAGGGGTCAGTTGGATGTGAGAGGTTCGGGGTTTGTGTGTGATGATGAGCCAGAAGACAAACTCTGATTGTCCTGACTCAGCTGGAGAGTTAAGAACCAACACAGGCAGTGACTGACAGGAAGACTTGCTCAGGCAAAACGTTACTTCAGTTTCTGGGTAAAGGTGTTTTTCACCAGGTAAACTGGGACTTTGATTACACTCATCTTTGACTTTTAATGCTTATGGCTCATTCCTTGCAGAAGAATGATCAAAATATTACAGACTGAGCCTTAAGGTGTGTGTGTATCAGACTGATCCATGATCAGAACACAGTGAAGCCAACTCCTGGGATTGGAGCCCGGGTTGGATGAGGCTCCTCTGTAATGAATGTCCAGGTAGGAGTTGACTGACTCACAATAATCAGCTACATCTCTCTGTGGCTTTTTTTTTTCCAGTCAGTAGTAGGATGAGCATTATATTGGGTACTGTTCCAGTCCCAGATACACAGGCCGGGGACAGAAGAGGAAAAACTGGAGTGTTACCTATGCTGCAGTAGTTGATCTTCATTGAATTGTTAGCAAGGAGGCACACAAGGGAGGGATTTGAAGAGGTAGCCATGACACTGAGCTGTGGCACTCTCACTTTTTCCTTAGAGTACATAAAGGCTTCTACAGTTCATGGTTGGATTTTATTAAAAAACACCATCAAGCACAGTTGTTTCCAAATACAGAGAATTAAGACACTTTAAAAAAGCAGTTTAGAGAAAACTTGTGCTATTTGCACAAGGTCCCTTGAGATACCTGAAGGGGTTGCAGAAGCACTGAAAGCAACTCATCCTTTCTGCTTGCTCAGTTTCCTTCCTTCAGCTTCAAGCTGGGATTGTTCCTGTTCTCTGGAACTTCCCAAGGCAGTCACACGGGGTCTCTTTTCCTCGAGTCACAGTTGTCCCCTGAGAAGTCTTCTGCCAGGGAGTTCCAGCTGAGCCAGCATACAGCCAGACAGAACTCCTTTCTGCTGTCCAGCTGTGTGCTTCCACATGAAAGGATGGCTGCCTTTATCCTGAAAGAGGATGACTGGGAAAAGGTAGAGGAGGTCTCTGTTTCACTAATGTAGTGTACCCTGGCCAAAAGACAGACCTGAGCTTTGTAACCACAGAACAAGGGGATGGGGGCTGTGGTTCATTATTTTTCAAATGAAAGGGGCTAAAGAGGCTTTTGCTATGAAGGGAGTGGGACAGGAAAGCAGGAAAAGAGTGGAAATAAAGCATTAGAAAAAATTGTAGAAGTGCTATGAAGCTGAACATGCCCATCTAGTACAAAGGCAGTACAATTTTAAATCTTACAGTAAGGTGGTAAAATCAAGTACATTTCTGGTATTGTATTTTTTAAAATCCAAATATTAATAACAAGTGGTTTTAAAACAGGACAGCTGCTTTGTGACAAAGCTGCCTTGTGTTATTTCAAAGAACAGCTATCCTTAATGGCAGCGTGAGGCCCAGAACCACCAGCAGGCAACATCAACTGATTGAAGCTGAGTCCCTTTGGGTCTGGAAACAGGGTACACAACTGCAGTAAATGCTGGTTCTAGATTAGTATGTTATTAAAATAAAATTAGACATCAGGTGTTCCCCAACATGGGGGTTGCCACATCCCACTTCACTGTGCAGCCTCCACCTGCCCACAGGTTCCCTCCTCCAGAACACTTCTCTCACCAGGACAAGATGAATATTCAAGTGTAAAATCATCTTTCACAATGCAGACAAGGCTAAATGTAGTCATACCATTGTTCACATACTTGACCATCCACTTCTCTCATCTAGGAGGAATTGCATTTTAGTAGTAATTCTTCCTGAAGCATAGTTCTGATACCTTTTTTTGGAGCAGAATACTTCACTATGCAAAGGAGTTATTTTATCCCTTTTACACCTTCCAACTGTACTGTATAGTAGCAAGAGGATGGAGGAAGATGAGGAGCAAAAACTACCCTTAAAGTCCTCACACTTCCAGTGCAGTGTGATGCCACTCCAGATGCTTGTCCAGGCAGGGATATCCGGCTGGCCATCAGTCTCATCAGCAGCTGATTTGCCCAGGTTATTCCAAGTGCTGGAACAACTCTGTTACCCACTACCCTGTAAAGACAGTATTACACATTTCTGCACACACCAATTTCATATGAAATATCTTCACTTCTGTTGTAAGAAAACTGCACTGGAAGAAATGATCTACTGTTTCTCTATTTAACATTGTTTACCAAATTGAAAACCATAGTCTTAGCAGGTGACAGGGTGTTCTCACAAAATCACATGCTAAGTTCTCTCTATGGCAAGGTAACGACTGGAAGGGCTTCTGTGCAGAACAACTGTCATTCTCCCAAATACAGCCATGGGGAATACCTGCCTCTGGATGGGCCCCCTCTTGTGACAGGAAAACCACTAGAGAAAAATGATTGAACTGTAAGTGTTTGAAGTGTGTAACTGTTGGCCCTGGATTCCATTTGAGGTTATATATAGAAATGCTGGGTAAATATAACACTGCATACACACTACTTTCAACCCAAAGTTTAAAACAATTTTTTTTTTCATGAAGAAAGTGCAATTTCTCCAGTATAAGAATTACAAGATAACCAGGGAAAAAATAATAATTCAATCTTATCCTGTTCTGTGTCAGTTTCCAAATCTGGTGGTCATAGAGGACTCCTCACAAACAGTCATTTATGTAGCACTCAGTTTATGTAGTAAATCAAGTCAGGATTCAACCAACAAATAAGTATCTTTGAATCCTGTTAATATCCTGGTGTCAAAAGATAAAATTTTGGGTTTTTTTCTGAACCCACTAAGAAAGCCAACTGCCAAGGTTTGGCTGCTGTAGTTTTTAAGCAGACAGAAAATGCACTCAGTTGTATCAGAGATGAGATGCAAAAATACTCCAGTGTAAGCAAGGACACCAGCCATTAACTCCAGGGAAGTTTTCCTGCTAACTTGCTGCTGAGGAGTTATGACCTAAGTGTAGATGACAGCTTCTCCCCCTTTATAGCACATGAGTTAGTGCTGATCTCCAGCAAACACAGCATTGCTGGGTAAATGCCCTACTGCCCTTCACAGCTCTCCTAGTTTATATTGGAGTTACAAAAAGTACAGTGTTTAAATGCTGCTGTGTTTGACATTGTTACCCTCTGCTGGGGATGACTCACCTACAACTGCACTGAGCAGCTTCCAACTCGCTCACTGCATCTGTCACCTAAAGCAGAAAAACAACATTTGCAGATGACCTGTGCTTGTGTATTTGTGTTTAGTGAGCAGGAGGGCAGGGAAGGGAACAAAGACAAGAAAATCCAAGTTATTGGATCATACATGAAGCCAAGTTAGAAACCCCTTATTCTTTCAACCATAAGGGAGTTGTGAATTACAAGCTGAGTTTACAGTGCTAGAACTATTTAGCTAGCTACAGCCTATTTGAATTAAACTACTTCTAGATGCTTTGTTTGTTTAAAAAAAAAAAAAGAAAAGAAAATGCAAACAAAAAACCCCACACTCACAAAAGATGTCCTGTTCTCAATGATTTCATGACCTTTGAATTTTCCCATCGGTGACCTGTCTGCACATTTACTTACCCCTTTCTGAGGCCATATTCCAATTGTGAGTGCTTCACCTCCAGCATTCACATGCTCCTTCAATTTGTGAGTGGACTAAGAGCAGTGTCTTGCCTTGTTTTCTTAAAATAATATTCTTTTTGACCAGTATCACTGTGGCCTTTTTTTGTTCAGCTCATGTCAGCGCATGCATTCTTGTGCTTTAGTAATCTCAGCAGTCACACAAAAATGCTGAGCTCCACAGAAATGCAGCAAAGGCCCTGGTGTTTCACTGTATCCTGGAATATAACTGTGCCTGCAGAGTTCCCAGAGCAATCCTGCTGGCAATGGCATTTGAAGCCAGTGGTAAGAAAAAACTCTTGTTATTTTGTTTTGATCTTTTGTGCCATTGCTATACATACCTGTTTTTGTTAGCTTTAGTGGGCAACTTTTGAGAATGTTAGCGGTCTATAAAAGCTTAGATGATGTTCTTAAATTTTGAATAGAAAATTTACTAGTTTAAAGTACATCAGTTTAAGGAAGCTTCAGTTTCCATCAGTCACTAATACTCAGTTGACAGTGGTAAATACACCACCATGAAACTGGCACACAGAGAGTGCACCGTCATCCTCCAGCCATTTATTAAATGGTCCCTGTAGAATAAGCAGCAATTTTGATGCCATACCTGATTAATGCACATTATTGGAGTCCTGAACCTTGTGCTTAAACTGTGAAGCTGTGCTCCAAAGGTCTGCAAGTACCGAGCCTTCATGACGGACTCCGAAGGCCCGAACTCGCAGCGGAACAAGGCGGCGATGGAGTCGATGACCACCAGCCTCACCATGCCCCTGGCCAGCAGCAGGGAAAGCCTCGTCGTGATGCACTTGTGGAAGGTGTCCTGCCACACACACACACACAGCAGTGAAACAGGGCAAAGAACTCCACTTGTCACACCAAGAGAGGAACTACAGGAGTCGTCACTGCAACACGAGCTGAAGGAATTCCTAATCACGAAGGGAACTTGTGGATCTCTAAGTCTCAGTAGTAACAATTTTTTTGCAAACATCTTGAGGCTTCACTTAAGAAAAAAAATGAGAAGACCAATCTGCACCCAACAGTTACCGGCAGCTCTGCCTTTTTAATTCTTTTACTGATATTTCAAAATCTCAAGGGTGCAATACTACAATCCTAAGCACAGAAACTGCATCTACACACAGCAACAATGAATTGTAATAATCTGTCATGCTGGACTTACCAGTGAGTGTAGTGTTTTACTTTCAAAGGTATTTTAGAGAGATTTACATACTACTAAAGGACAATTCTCTCCTTTTTACAAAAACATACTCTGTAGCTTCCAGAAACTACCATTAGAACTTTAATTAATATTTCTAATGAAAGGGACACAGAAAAGGTAGCTTAGCTGCTGCCTGGACCACACAGTGAATAAGTTTGAAGCAAGATGATCTTACACTTGCAAACTACAATTAAAAAACACAATAACTGGGATGATTCAACAGCTGCTACTTCAAGCCTTAGAGAAAACAGAACTTCTGACATTCTATCAATAAAGAGCATACTCATGGCTACTTGAGAAAAGGCACAGAAATGGGTTTACAAGGCAAGAATACAGGACTAAGGTTCATTTATTTCCCCCTCCAGTTCTACTCTGACACTTTACAGGTAGAGGGGCAAGAGAGTTGCACTGCTGTGGTGATTCTTTGCCATTACCCATTCCAGGCACCCCTTTTTGTATCCTTTCTTCCCATCTGCAGTTTAACTACTGTGGTGTTATACTGCAGGATAGTCAGTACACACAGCAACTTTTGCATATACACTTATATCCTGTCTCCAAACTTCAGTTAAGGTCTCCCCAGTACCTGCAGTAGAACTAGTAGCAGTAAGTCTACTACACTTCAATAAACATAATGACTTACAAAATCTACTGCATGAGTCATTCTAAAGAAATATTAATACTTATCTTTCAATATATTTCATAGTAAAACTCCAGTAGTTCTTTAACAGCAAATTGTAGATTAAGTAGTATTTATTCATTACAGATCTTAGTTTACTCTCAGCCTTTTGAAAGGTCTCCTATGTAAAAAAACACCCCATGGTTACTGGATTACAGTGTAATAATTATGCATTCTTATTTTGTGCTACTACTTACTAGGTCTGCTGCATGCTCAACAAAAATACTGTTTCCAAATTTGATCTTCTGTATGATTTCAGCTGGAACATCTGCACGCAGCTTATGTTGTTGGCCTATGAGTTGCTGCAAACGTTTACTTGGGAATGCATCTTCTGTGCAAATGTAGACAGCTCCTGCAGCCAAGGAAACCACCTGTGATCACAACAGGGCTCTTACACGGTTTTCTTAATAGCACAAAAATAAAATAAGACATTCTGCACTCAAAAGCTACACATTTGAACCTGGAAGTTCATGTTACTTTGTCTGCAACCATATTGAATCGATGATGAACAAAAACCTCGATCCTGTGACTTTCCTGGTTTTGCCAGGTTTTGCCTTTTTTTTTTGGTGCCTGCTGACACAACTGGATTTTGTCCTCTCCACTGGGTGACACTGGTTGGAATACCCAACCACCTACTCTGGGTGATCAGAAGTATCATATTTATCCAGCCTACAAATAAGAGTGACACTGTGTGGTCTGCCTGTTTCAGTTAGAAATCTAAAACACAGCACCAGACCATGAAGAAAATTACCTATCCCAGCCCAAACCAGTACAACTAGTACTTTGATTCATTTCACTCACTGTTTTCCGGATTCTAGGTTTTAAATCTACACATGGAGGGGTACTGATTGCCACAATTTCTAAGCCAGTTTAAAGAGGACCCCTCATTCCAATTAACTCTTCCTGAAAATGGTAATTAGATTAAAAAAAAACATTATACTTCAATCATGTTACTGTGAGTGATGTCTAAATATTTTCACTGTGGTTTCTAGTTAACAAGTAACACAGAGAAAATTAACCATACCCATCAAAGATGTTTGGGAAAGAAAACAAAAACACATGCAGTATTTTCCTTACAAAAAATTGTTACTGTTATTGCAGAACTAATCAGAGTTAACAGCTAAGACTTAGAGGGCTACATCCAAGGATAAAGCCCACTCACTGAAGTGGCTGAAGCTGCCAACACAGCTTGGCAGATGATGTGTTTGGCAATATGAGACATCCTGACCATTTCCACCCCAACGGTGCATCCCTACACTGGCTCTTCAGGAGGTGCAGAGTCCCATTTCCAGATGCAACTTTCAAATCCTCTACACAGTCCACTCAAAAAACCATGAAACTATATCCAATAGTGGAAACAGAAAGATCTCAGGACTAGATCAAGTAAAAATTAATGGTTACTATATCAATAAAAATATTTTGCTGATAGACACCTGTATAAGACAGGGTATTGAATCCTGATAATTTTCTATATGAGACGAAGATGAGTCTAAGCCCAATTTATTTTAGGACTAAAACTGCATCTTCATCTTAACTTTCCCCAAACTCACTGTAAATTCACATGTGAACACCCTTCACATGTGAAATGTCAAAGGAATTGTAAAGTTCAAGTGAACACAGTTATTCAAGTAATTTTTTTTATCTAAACATTTGTAAAAAAAAAAAATCTAATTCTTCCTTAAGAACAGTCCTGCTTCATAGAGTATTTCCCACCTCAGTTTAGTTTTGTAGAGCTACAAGATATTGGTAAATTAATAAATCAATACTGAAGATCAATGCCTAATTATGAGGCAAAAGCACTTAACAGGCACACATCTTTAAAGATAAGTGAGTTGTCACGACCCAAATAAAAAGAGGAGAGTTGCACAACACAAACAGAAAAGCCTGTGGCATCGTGCTATTTGCAGATTGTTAGGAAGCTGCAAGTTAAGAGTTAGGGTAGTTATCAGTTTTGAGAAATAAGCTGACAGAGACTCTTAAGGAGTCAGTCAGTGATCACCTAAACATCTTTCCTCCACAAAAACCAAACAGATATCAGCTATTTCATCAAATCTATTTCATCAAATCTGTTATTCAGGCCAACAAATGTGCTATGGTGGTTGTTGACAAAAAGCACCCCCCAAAAATCAATCAAACAAAAATAAAAACCACTAAAACCCCATCCCCCGAAAAGGACAAGTTTTGATTCCTATGAACATCTTTCATGCACCAAGCCAACTCATTACCAAGAATCAGCAGCAAACACAGTTTTCTAATTCAGAATTCCAATATGAATATATTAATTTGTGCCATTATATTCATGTATTACTTATGAATATGGGCATATAAAATAAATTCAGCCAATATGCAGCTGAACACAACTGACATTCCTGGAATGGCAGAAAGATATCCTGGAGGCAAAGGATGCCTTTGTTTACTTTCAGGATTTCTTTGCTGCCAACCTGCTAGCATTGAGAATTATAAACAAGAATAGCACTAAGTCAAATGCAGTAAATGCAGAATAAATCCATACTGTTTAAAGACACGTATTTCAACATCACCACTTAAGAAAAGGGAAGTTTCTAAGCAGTAAAAAAATACAACCCACTGGCACTCAGATCAATCCTATGCTGGTAGTGCTAGAGCTGTGTGAAAGTTTCTAAGCAGTGTTGTTCTCCTCAAGTTTCCTAAAGAATAAAACTCCTCGTATTTAACATAAGCTTTAATTTTTGTATTTCCCATCAGAGACTCAACACAACCCTTTATTTACAGACTGCAAAGACATCAAGTTTCATTTTCTAAGTGCTTTGCAAAGAGCAAAAGCACCTTTTGCTGCTACGACTGTGTGCAGCCTAACAGATGGCAAGATACCCCACTGTGAATAAAGAACAACTAGAATTAGGATTCCACCTCTTCTTTAGCTCTCCAACTTCAGCAACAGGGTGTTTCCACCTTCTATACCTTCGAGTTCTGTCCTCTGAGCCCTCCAAAACGTTCTGGTTCTCCATTCTATCCTATCTTCCAGGAAACACTTGGGAGCAGGTAGATGGGGAACACAGACATGACAAAGCAAATGTAATAGCACTGAGTGTCTGGGGCATAAAAACCAGGATCATCTTCAAACACAACTAATGAAAAGACTTGCCATCCTGCAGCCCTACAAGCAAGACTATAGTCCGGTACAAGAGACCAGAGTGCCATTAGGATGTTGGGCACCTTCTTCTGTATGTCGTTCTGGTTTGTTCCTTTATTTCAACCTAAACAGGGAGAAGTGCTGGAGCAGGAATAAAAACATATTTGCATCCTACTTGCAGCAGTTAGCAGCACCACACAAAGGAATCAAACAAAATATACTTGCTTCTGATTAATGACATAACTTAAGAGTAATGTAAGCCAGGGGCTAATTATGGCCCTTTAAGTGAGACCTTAATTTCTGCATTCCATGATTTTTCCACATGGGTGGATATAGTTCAAGAAATTATTAAGTTTCCCCACAACAAACCACTGAGCTGCCAAATAAAGCCAGTGCTGCATGGAAGGCACAGAGAAAGTCACAGAGAAAACACACCTAAGGCAGACTACCAGGACACCAAACTCTCAGAAGTGACACAAGTTTCCTCCCTTTCTAAGGCACCATAGAATAGTAAAAAAATATAAATAAAATAAATTAAGAGTTAGATCAGTGTGATAGAAGAGGAAAAAATATACTCAAAGAATAAACCTGTATATTTAGAATTCTGCTTAAAGACATCACTTTGGCAAATCAAGGAAAATCACAGCTACAAAACAATGTTGCCTTCCTTCAATTACATTTCCATCAATTTTACTCTGTAAATCACTATTATTATTGTTTATCAAACAAAATATTCTTTGAAATTTCAAAACCCCAACTAGGGAATATATACCAGGTACCCAAGATGTTTGTGGAAAATTACCTGTCCAGCTCTTTTGCTGAGGTTGTTACCTGAGGATTCAATGGGTACCCATGACAGCAATACTTTTCTTATATTGTTTGAGTGTGTTTAGTTTAACCCAGAGTGGCAGGCAGGCAGGCAAACAACAGCCAACAGTAATTTTGAATTAAATTATCCTGTGCTGCAGGACATGTGCACAGCATGCTCTACTCTCTGTAAAGGTGCATTACTCACTAACCAACTTGTTACTGAGGTTAGACATGCACTGAACGTGTGCATCTACTTCAATGATGTTCTTAAAGACAGTATATTCCTCCAAATAGCAAATTAATCAGTATTTACATTTCAGCACTTACCAGACTCTAATCCACCATATTTGTAAGGATACTGCACACACAGGCACAGCTGTAAACTAATCTGAGTCTTCCCAGCAGAACTTTCCCCAGCAAGCTCTGTGATTCCCACTAAAGGAATGCCACCTTTCAACAAGTTATCCAGCACTGAACATCCCAGGCTCAGCTTCTGGTGCTGGGAGGTGAGATGATCATTATCTTGGTAGAGCTGAAGTGCTGCAGTGTTTGGGATTTTTTTAATGATTTAAAAAAAAAAGAAAGAAAGAAAAAAGAGTTTAATTTATTATCTTTCTAACAGAGGCTGCCTACAAGGTTTATATCTACAAGGGATGATTTCTTTGCTGATGGAGAATTTTCCTAATTCAGGATGGTCTTCTCCAGTTTCCTTTCCCCACAAAGCAACTACTGAATGTCTGTTCAAAAACTGGTAATATACACTGAGCCCTTTTCCTCCTCTCAAACTTTTTTCCCTTTCTCTGCCTCCAAGGAGTCTCTATGGAAAGCTACACTCTGGGAAAACATTGACAGCAAGGTTCAAGCTCAGCAATTATGGAAATGGAAAGCTATAGCAGAGTATAAAACAGCACAGCAGGCACCTGGCCAAGGCCTAAAGACATATGCAATCACAAGAAAATAAATCTTAAATACAGAGCTGTCATGAAGCATTTGTACAAGAAGAACTATTATATCCTGCTTGATTTGGAATAAGGTGTTTTTACCAAATCAGTTTATGCAGCTTTTAATATATAAGTTTTGCAACTAGTCGTAGTCCAAAAGGAAAATGGCAAGCGAGAAAGAGCATGTGAAAGAAAAAGGAAATATCTTGTTCCTCTAATTAAGTTTTTCATACTGGAGAACCATTTTGTCTTGTTTCAAGCAGGCTTGATCCTGAAGAACGACACCCATCTATTTCCATCTACTCCCAGGTCTCCAGGGAGCTGCCCTTAGGATAGTCAAACAATTCACTACAGCGAAATAAAAACACTTGCTTTTTCATTTTTAAACCACATTACTGTGCCAGTGAGGAGCCAGAACCATGTTTTCACCCAGTGACAGTTATTTTAAGTTTTAAGTAGAACACCTTTTTTGTATTGACTACATTACCTGTGACCATGCTGTTCCTCCTCAGCGTGAGAGAGACTGTTTTCAGCAGGCACTGTATGTCTGCACTGGAGAGCTTCATCAATCTTTGCAAGTCTGCTCCAGAAAGGTTTAAAATCTCTTTTACTGATTTGATGTCAGCTGAAATCAGAAGAACTTTTATAAATACTTTTGGGCTGGATGACAGTCTTAACACAGGAAAGTTTTCCCAATTTCTACCAGTCGTTTGCCTAAAGTTTATCTACGCTGCATTCTTGTAAGGTGGGCAGGCAAAACTCACCTGGAATGTATCAACACAGGCTACAGAATTGTTTGGAAAATGATTACTGGAGCATGGGCAAACGGCCTCACTTCTAATTACTCAAAAATTTGTTTATTAAATACTTAATTATAGTTCTGAAGTGTTAGTGTCCATCTACAGGCTTACACCCACAGACAGACAGTTAGACAAAGGAAGACACTGTAGTAGCAGATCTGTTAGTGAGACTTTGGCAAATTGAGTTACCTTTCTTCAAGGCAGCAACTGTTCTAGGGTTCAAGTCAAATTGGTCCCAGTCCATCTCCTGACACCGCACAGGGACGAGCAGAGCATCACAAAATTATCTGTGATTAAAGCAGCTTTTATTGCAGACACATGCAAGAAAAAAATAAGCATAAATCAGTATCAAAAGTTTCTAGGACCTTTTCTTTTTTAACAATGTACATAACAGTTATCCTAGAGAAGTAACAATTATTCTGGGATTATTATTATAATATTATGGAAATTATTTTATATAATAATAATAATTACATATATTGATACAATAACTATTATTCTATTATGGGAATACTGTGGCCAGTAGGTTGAGGGAGGTGACCCTCCCCCTCTACTCAGCCCTAGTGAGGCCACATCTGTACTGTTTCCAGTTCTGGGCTCTTCAGTACAAGAAAGACAAGGAGCTCCTGGAAAGGGCCCAGCAGAGGCCACAAGGAGGATTAGGGGTCTGGAGCATCTCCCTTCCAAGGAGAGACTGTGGGAGCTGGGCCTCTTTAGGCATGCAAATATCTCAAAGGTGGGTGTCAGAGGATGGTGCCAGATCCTTTTGAGTGGTGCCCAGTGACAGGATGAGGAGCAATGGCCAGAAACTAAAACACAAGAATTTCCACCTCAGCATGAGGAAGAACTTCTTTACATTGAGGGTGGCAGAGCACTGGAACAGGCTGCCCAGGAAGGTTGTGGAGTCTCCCTCCCTGGAGACATTCCAAAGCCACCTGGATGTGCTCCTGTGTGACCTGCTCAAGGTGACCCTGTCTTGGCAGGAGTTGGACAGGATGATCTCCAGGGGTCCCTTCCAACCCCAATGATTCTGTGATTCAACCCACTGGCAGAAGTCTTCTCAGATGGCTGTTTACATATATCCTACTAAAGAGTTCAACATAATAATCCTGCAGTTAAGAACTACTAGCAATTTTAATTGCCTGTGCTTCTGGACTGTGCTTTTGCTCTGAAGCTTGCAAATACACTGGACAGTCATTTCTACCCTGGCACTCTTCACGTGAGCTTTTCATTCTCAAATAGAAAAAAAATCTCACACGTGCAATTTGGGATGACCCACGACTACTCAAGCATTGGACAGTCAAATACGCATTTATTACCTAAAAGCAAATTTAATATTAAAACGTTAAAATCTGTTTGTTTCTTTTAACAACATTAAACAGTTCTTTTAATACTTTGGTCTAAAACACAA